CCTATGTAACTTTAGTAGACTCTACAATGCATTGATATGGATGAGTCCATTATGGTCTACAGTGGTGAAAGGGTTAAGTATCTTGTACTTCCTAATCAAGCTTCTTATCAATGTCTTATCAAGCTTCCTAAATTCTAGCTCCTAAACTGTCATCTATAATACTTTCACATATTAAATTCTGCGTCTGATTGGAAAACCAAGATGGCTGACAGGTGGCCATCTTGAATTTTGGGAGTTAAAGTTTGTTAGTGCTATATTTCTTACAAAGAACTGGAGGAATTTTCTTAAATTGTATGTGAATGTTGTTCCTATTAAAGGTTATTTGTTATGCATATGGAATATTTGGTCTGGTCAGAAAACAAAGATGGCTGACAGGTGGCCATCTTGCATTTTGAAAGTTAAATTTTGGTATTGCTACTTCTCAGAAAGGACTGGAAGGATCTTTCTTAAATTTCAAATGAAGGTTCCCCCATGGTCACGCCAATCAAATTTGGGTTTGACTGGAAAAAACCACGATTGGTGACAGGCAGCCATCTTGAATTTTGAGTATTGAAGTTTGTTAGTGGCCATCTTGAAAGTTTTTTTAAGTGCTATATTTCAGGATGCACTGAAGAGATCTTTAAAGTTCCCTTGGTCTATAGCTGTGCATGTTAACTTTTGTGAAAGATTGGAAAAAAATTGACAGGCAGCCATCTTCGATTTTGACAATTAAGATTTGGTATCGCTCTTTCTCAGTTTTGTCATTTAAAATGCCATCTGAATCTGATTGCTGGGTAAAATATATAGTTGCAATACCTTACGGTGGTAAATATTCCAGTATGACTGCCATAGTCTCTGGAATACTTGATAAGCATTTCAGCATTAACTCAATCCCCCCCTTCAAAGGTTGGAATAGTTCATTATGAGATTTCAGGGGTGAATGAGTTACCGTAAGTATATTTTTCCAATGCTGCTAAAGAGCATATGAATGACACATTAAACCTCTTAAGGCATGGTGTTCAAATCAGCTTTAATGTTTCTTTCTTAATGTTCGGTGGCAGCATATTTGCACAGAAGCAAATGGTGATGTACACCCGTGGAGGATGGAATTTCACATTTGTCGTTTCCTGCTGATGACACTGATGTTTTTGTAGATTTTCTTCAGTGAAACTTTTCCTGACAGCTGTAAATTAAAATGTGTATCAAAAATGGAGAAATACTTCCATAATAGTACCATTAGGCTTCTCCTTGATTACCAGAAGAAACACTTTGGTCTACTTCAGCTTCAGCCATTACACCAGCGTTATAACCAGGAACCTGTCGTTATAACCATGAACCTGTCATTATAACCATGAACCTGTCATTATAACCGTGAACCTGTCATTATGAAGGTGCTTTCTGCTCTCCAGAATCTCAAGGACAAAATGTTTACTATGTGTCAACAAAGTACAGTCTTTCTCCTGTACTTGCAGATTTTTATCCCTCGATGTAACTTTTTGGAAAGTTTTGTCACGCTCATAGCCAAATATCATCCTTTTATAGGTTTGATAATCACATATGATCTATTATATCAGCACTTAGACATGATTTATTCGATCTGAATATACCTTATCTTTTATTTTCTACCCTTTTTCAGTTACTACTTCTAATTCCATGCCTACCTCAGCACCCATTTCTTCTATCATTTCAGCCCCTTTGGACCTTATTTTGTTGATGAATGGTTGAAACAAACCAACAAATAGATAAAAAACGGCTTAACTTGTCAACTCAAAAATTGTTTAAAGGGACAGTTATTTTTGCAGCAATGTTCCATTTTTTTAAAACCAGGAACCAAAATTCAACCCAACACAGAATGTTACTAGTCAAATAAAATTATGTAGACCTAACAATTTTAAAACTTCAAGTTCTATATCTTTTAGATTTTGGGGATCATCGATGAAGGTTAAAGGGTCAAAAGGACCCTATATAGGACCCCACTGATTTTATTTCTATTCATAATACGGCTAAATTTAAGATTTCTAAGTGGACTCTTTAGAATAAGTATAATAAAATATTTCCTGATGGAACAAGGAAAAGAACGGGAGATGGACCTTGCCTAATAGAACAAGAAAAAAACAGGAAATGGACCTGTTTGTGATTTGAGCACACAGATGTCCTGAAAGGCCGTTGACAAGCTTCATTTATTTGGATAGATTGTCAGGTTGTAAATGTCGTGTCCAGCAGGACGACAGTGACCAGTTCAATGACTGGCTGTGGGCAGCTGAAAGGACAACTAATTACGTTTATTCTCAATCAGGAGAAGATTATGTCTGTGGAGTGCAATAAGGATGTGGTAAATGGTCCTCACCAGCTCTCCACTAGGATTTGTTCCCGTCAGTGAATCTCCACTTGTCCCAGATAATTCCTGTTAGGGGGATGTAGACTGTCATTTCGCTGTGAAGCTTCAGATTTTTACGCTTTATATAATATTATATTATATTATTATCAGCTGTGTAGTGTGTGAATTAAGGGAGCCTCACTTCTTGTGTAGGTTTTGTTGGCCATCATTCTGATTGCTGCCAAAATTCAAATTTAGTTTTCAAATGTTAAATAATATTTTATCAACATTTCTTGCTTCAGCTCTTTGTGTTTTGATTTTCATTGGCATGGACATAGCTCCCAATATTGTCAAATCACAATTCTTGACGTTGTATCGAAATAAGTCTACATATTTATCATATTAGGACTGCCAATGTAAAAGCCGGAAACTTATGAGAGATTGCCAATTTTTTTAAATTGTCAGATATGAACTTTTAGTTTTAAAAGTCAGATCGCCAATAGACCACTAAAAATTCCCACTTCACGGTTTACATTAATCAAAAACACAAAAAGTCTGTATGTTACATTTGAATTTACTGAACTGAAATAGAATCAACGGAAACGGGAAATACATTGGATTTATTTGGTTGTTTAGTTTTGTTACATAGGAAAATAATGGGATACTCTTCCAAGTTCAAGTTGACCAGAGTCTTCACAACAAGCAAATTTAGTTTTCGTCCCACCACCAAGAAGTGGAAGCGAGACAAAGGTGTTGCTTTTCCGGCGGCAGCAGCGGCGTCAACATTAAGTTTTTGCGTTTAAGTTAGTTTCACTGAAAGTATAAGGGCTACACCAACCAAACTTGGGCCATAGATGTATCTTAGGTAGTACATATCAATCCATGCATCAAATGCTGGATGCAGCCTACCTTTCATGGTCCATTGACTTTGTCAGCATCGCCATCAACATTAAGTTTTTATACGCCCGTCGAAGACGGGGACGTATTATGTTATCACGTGAGCGGGCGGTCGGTCGGTCGGTCGGTCAGGCGGGCGGGCGGGCAAACGATGTCCGCTCGATATCTCGAGTAATTATTAACGGATTAACTTCAAACTTCACAACAAGGTTAATTACCATGAAACCTCGGACAAGTTAGATAACCGCAATTATCCGACCATAATTTGTGGAGTTATGCCCCTTTATGGACTTGCCGAAACAGTGTCCGCTCGATATCTCGAGTAATTATTAACGGATTAACTTCAAACTTCACAACAAGGTTAATTACCATGAAACCTCGGTCAAGTTAGATAACCGCAATTAACCGACCATAATTTGTGGAGTTATGGTCCTTTATCGACTTGCCGAAACAGTGTCTGCTCGATATCTCGAGTAATTATTAACGGATGAACTTCAAACTTCACAACAAGGTTAATTACCATAAAACCTCAGACAAGTTCGATACCCGCCATTATCCGACCATAATTTGTGGACCTATGGTCCTTTATGGACTCGCCGAAACAGTGTCCGCTCAATATCTCGAGTAATTATTAACTGATTAACTTCAAACTTCACAATAAGGTTAATTACCATGAAACCTCAGACAAGTTCGATAACCGCCATTATCCGATCCTAATAACTGGACTTATTACCCTTGGTTTCGTTAATGCGATGCATGCGTTCCATGTTGTTGTATTGCACTCATTGATCTACCAGTTATGTTGAATGCTTTCTCTTTTAATATCAATTACTCACAAATACTTCATATATCTCAATCATACAAACAACTGCTCATTCAATGTGTGGCGGGCGTATTATATACCGCTCGCTGTAACCTTGTTGCGTTTAAGGTTGTTTCTCTGATATGTGCATTGATGGTCAAAGTGGGGGACTGGCGAGACATATCAATCTGAATGGCTTGTGTATATATACTTGTTCTTGTCGAGATGAGGTACTGTTATCCTGTCTTAACCTCTGCACAGAGTACTATGGTTCTATCAATATCTCCTCCAATTTATGGTGATGTCTTTTAATAAGTGGTTGGTCTCTATGATGGGTCATTCCTTTTGATTGAATATACTTGCACCATATGGATTCTATGTACATGTCATGTATTTAGATTAAAAGAATTTTCCCCTGACAAAGGAATCTCACACGCGGGGGCTTATTTATTTTGATGTCCAACCGCAGTCTATGCCGATGGTTAGACAACCAAAAGGTTACCGTTCAGGTTGGAGATTTCAGAATTCAGTCAAGGTGGAAGAATTTTACTATCCAATTATGTGTTACTCTTTAAGTTTGGATTGGTAATTGCAGATCTGTAAGGGATATTTTTAAGTTTACCTTTGGTTTAATAGTTCTAGAGTCTTCAGAATTAATACTGTGAAATCACGAATTTTTGTGGAGCTTTTAATTTGTTTGATTTGGTGGGTGAATCTTCATCCACAGATTCATAGATCCACGAAGTAATAACAAGTTTGATATACAGCAATTCTCTGTTTGAGTGGGTACTCGTGATCAACGAATACATGAGCCCACGAAATGGTGTCTTGTTAGGAAACCACAAAATTTGGGCACCACAAAAAGGTCTGATTTCACAGTATAAAATTTTCTGCTTTAAAATTATCAGTGAAAAAATTGTTGATCCTGTAACAGCCATGCATGATAATATTAATTGATAATGAGAACGTTTGTCAGCTATAGGTTTCTTTGTCCTGTTTCCACAGGTATGCATTGTTCAGAAAAAGGACAGCAAGAAGATGTACGCCATGAAATACATGAACAAGTCAATGTGTATAAAGAAGGATGCTGTGAGAAACGTGTTCCGTGAGGTGGAGATCCTAATGGCACTGGATCACCCGTTCCTCGTTAATCTGTGGTTCACCTTTCAGGACGAGGAGGACATGTTTGTAGTTGTGGATTTGTTACTAGGGGGTGACCTTCGCTACCATATACAAAAGGAAGTACATTTTGACGAATCACATGTGAAATTGTACATCTGTGAGTTAGCTTTGGCTCTGGATTATCTACAGACTTACAACATCATCCATAGGTAGGTATCACAGTTATAGGGAGGTTAATGGAACAGCTTCTGTACATTTTGGATACAGGGGAGGCAAATACAACATCATCCGTTGGTATAGGTATCACATTTATAGGGAAGTTAATGGAACATCTTCTGTACAATTTGGATACAGGGGAGGTAAATACAACATCATTGAGGCATCGCTGATACAGGGGATGTAAATACAAAACCATTTAGGCATTTCTGATACAAGGAGGTAAATGTAACACCATCTAGGCATCTCTGATACAGGGGAGGTAAATAGAACATCATCTAGGCATCTCAGATACAAGGGAGGTAAATAGAACATCATCTATGCCTCTCTGATACAGGGAGGTGAATACAACATCTTTTAGGCATCTCGGATACATGGAGGTAAATACATCACCATCTAGGCATCTCAGATACAGGGGAGGTAAATACAACATCATCTATGCCTCTCAGATACATGGGAGGTAAATACAACATCATCCCCTGATTTATTTCCTTTTCCACACCATCATAAAACATCATATTTGTGTTTGCAACTTTTGTTTGAGTTAACTGTGCATGAACAAAACAAGGTTATTGTTACTATAAATAGATTTTTTTGCTGTCATCGCTTTTCTGACTACATTTTGGAGCTGTTTGTCATGAAACTTAATGATCATAACAATCATCTCTGTAAGGTCACATTTAAACCTTATTTAGATCACTGTTGCTATAAATAGAATTCTGTATACCAGGAAATTTTTGACGCAGTTTACCTTTCACCATTTTTGCCCATAAAGGGAAAATATTTGACAGGGCTAAAATTTCCCAGTAGACATGCATTATTTGATTTCATCCACCATTAGTCACTCTATATTATGTCCTTTTCTATCAATTTCAATCTCGAGAGTAAATTAAGTTGCATGTCTGCAATGCCTTGTTTCGGTATCTTCAAAACGTTAATATAAAAATGTTCATTAAGATTTATTTTGACAGGTTGGTCTTGCTATATATTTCTTGCGTTTAATTTGAAATAATGTTGTTTTTTTTTTAAAGAAGGTAGTTTGCTGATAAGAAATTACCATCTTGGAAGTTATATGCTTGGGTATAAATTATGCAATTTTTAGGTAATGAAAACCAGTGCACTATTTTGCATGCACTTCTAGATCCTATGTCTTTGAAATTGCCACTAAAATCTATACACTTGACAATGGCTGAGGGCTCAGTCACGTTAGAAGGAGGATAGACAGAAGACGGGGCTGAAACATATGACCTCAGGCCACAGATAGTTATGCTTCCAGATTGTTGAATATACAAACAAAAAAGGGTATTTTGGACATTTTGGCTCATTATTGTCATATTCCTATTTCTTTCCTGTAAATGAAATGAATTAATATATGATTTTGTCAAAATGAAGTTGAGTTGGATATTTTTCTTTCTTTTTAGCTCACCTGCCCTAATTAAATTCAGTTTGTTCTTCAGATAACAATGCAGCATCAACATCTGAAATTAATTGATCTTTAATAAATAAGGACTTGTCAGTCTATTAGGTGATAGTTGGAAAAACAAATCAGAATTTGGTACAATTCTGAAAATTCCCAATTGGGTTTACCTGAAGACAAATTTTTCCAATTCTAAAGCCACAGGCCGGGCATTCTTAAGATATTGAGAAAAAGTCCAGCTGTTTATTCTTGGTTCATTAAAAAAAAGATGTGGCAAAACAGGATTAAATATTTGTTTTTGAACCCCTGAGCATGAATTTCAAGGTCATTTTGTAGTTCAAAGACATGAATTATTGGCATTAAATTACACCTCTTAAAAATGCAAAGCATGAAGTGTTTCAAGATAACTACAAATTAAGCTGTCTTGGATTAATGATAAATACCTTAAAAGGTCGGGTCTCCAGCAATTCTGGAGTCTTTTGTTTTTCCTTTGGTAAAACATTTATATAGAAATCAACTGTGGTCTCCAATCTGTATATATGGTGTGGTTAACTTGTGGCAGCCACCTTTAACCCTTTCAACCTTGTGTAACTTAGTAGACTCTACCATGCATCGATCTGGTTGAGTCCATTACAGTCAACAGTGTTGAAAGGGTTAACCCTTTCACCCCTATGCAACTTTAGTAGACTCTACCATGATCTGATCTGGATGAGTCTACTATACCATACAATAAGCCCACTCTCGCAAATAAGCCCCCTCCCCACTTTGGTAAATGTCCTGGGAACAGGGTTGGTGTCTGCCATTAAGCCCCCCCCCCCCCCTCCTTTTTGCAGGTGAAAAAGTGAAGTCGTTTGGAGAAAAAAAAACACAAAAAAAACAACATTGTTGTTTCTTTAAAATTAGTCCCAATTATTCTGACGTTTTATGGACTTTTTTATATCGGTCTGTCTTCGATTAATGACGTTTATCGACGACAGACCGATATAAAAAAGTCGATAAAACGTCAGAATAATTCGGACTACTTTAAAATCTGCATCAACAGGTAGATTTAGGTAGTTTACAGTACTAGTGGTGAAAGGGTTAAGTTTTTTAAAGAGGCTTTATTGAGAAAAAAATCATCTCCTAAATGCTCAAATCTGACCTAGATGAAATGCCTCTAGGCTCGTCATGAAGATAATGACAACAATTTGCAGTGAATTCCCTGAGTAAATGTGCCAGTACCAATATAAATGATTAAGGGTTTAAGTCACTATCAGTTCTTTGTAAATGCTCCAAATCACAGGAGTGCATGTACCGATAAAACATGTCTACACTTCCAGGGCTTTGATGTTTGAATATACATAGGATTCGTGTCTATATATACAACATGTCAAAGCTATACAAGTTTCTCATAGATTATTTCCTAGTACACCAAACACCCCAGAGTAAGTTTACTGTACGGAAGCCTTTCAGATTTCCAAATTGTGTGTCCCGTGGTCCCTGGTGACAGACTCCAATCACTCTGGAATCCCTACAGTGGCTGTTCCTTCTCACTCTAAAAATGCGTCAAGCTTTTGTAGTCAACTTTTAAACTTTGACTGACAGTAGTTTTTACGTAGAAGATGGTTCCTTCTAACTTTACCTTCCAGGCTCCCAGGAGCACTCCCCATCTGAAAACAAAGACAGATCATTCTCATCTAACTTGTTTCTAGTTTGTACTTTTCGGGATACTTAAAAAACACCTTCTAGTTCACTTTTTAAATGTGGGGATGAAAAGACGAGAAATTGAAGGCATCAATTTCAAAGCTTCTCGTGAATATAAATCTAAACATTGGACGTGTCTGGAGCCGCGTTAACACAGTTCCATGTCTCCACAATATTTGTCTTTCTGTCTGTAGAATGGAAAGTTATCCTACGATGTTGGATCTACATACACTAGTGGGTCGGAGATTTGCGTATCGAGCAAGGACCAGCTGGAGTCTGATCATGTTGGGGGATAATGAAATTTAAAACAATTCTTTTCTATCATTACTTTAACAAGCTTATAGGGAAGATTCTTGGCCTGGCAACTTATTTTATAATAGATCTTTTTCTTTTAACAGCCCAATCGCTACAGAATGGTTCAAAGGGCAGTGCCCCTCATCAATCATCAATTTTCCCTTTAAAAAAATCTTCTACAGACCCATAAGGCTTAGAATCGTGACATTTCTCTTTTGCAGCTTGCTTTCGTGGATGGCTATTATGAAGATTGTTCAACGAATTACCTTGATCCACATTCAAGGTCACAGGCATCAAATATGTTGAAAACTTTAAACAACTTCTTCAGAACAATGAAGCCTAGATATACATTTTTTTCTTGTAGCTTGCTGGAGATTATTGCTACCAAAGACCCATTCAAATAATTCTTGGCCTACTTTCAAGATCACAAAAGTTCAATGCATTAGAAGAAGTCTTCTGCAGAATTATAAAGAATATAGTTAGGATGTTTGTTGTGTAGTCTACTGGAGTAAAGTTCTGTCAGAATTCTTTAAACTGAATGAGTAGTTTCAGGGTCACAGGGAGGGGTTAAAGTCAAATATGTTGGAAATCACACACACACACACACACAACAGTAACAAAAACAAAAAACCCAAACAAAAGCAAAAAAAAAAAAAAGATAAACTAAAATAAAATTTATAAAAAGACAAAACACCAAACAGGTATATGATTCAGGGCCTTGGGTCATATGCCAACTAGGTCAAATGATACAACTGATTTTTCTATGACAAGTTTATGTCCAAGTCATGTCTATTTGATATGTAGTCACGATGAATTCTTTTACATCTTGTTAACCAATATATTTATATGTATACTGAAAGTATTCTCCATTGCACTGATATATTGACCATTGTACTGATAATGTTGACCATTTTACATGAATGTACTGAGATTGACCATTACTAACTGTATGTTGACCATTGTACTGCCATTGACCATTACCTACTATATGCTGACCATTGTACTGACATTAACCATTAATTACTGTATGTTGACCATTGTAATGACATTGACCATTTCTTACTGTATGTTGCCCATTGTACTGACATTGACCATCACTACTGTATGCTGACCATTGTCCTGAAATTGACCATTAATTACTGTATGTTGACCATTGTAATGACATTGACCATTTCTTACTGTATGTTGACCATTGTACTGACATTGACCATCACTACTGTATGCTGACCATTGTACTGACATTGACCATTAATTACTGTATGTTGACCATTGTACTGACATTGACCATTTCTTACTGTATGTTGACCATTGTACTGACATTGACCATTACTTACTGTATACTGACCATTGTACTGACATTGACCATTACCTACTATATGCTGACCATTGTACTGACATTGACCAGCACTACTGTATGCTGACCATTGTTGTACTGACATTGACCATTACTACTGTATGCTGACCATTGTTGTACTGACATTGACCATTACTACTGTATGCTGACCATTGTTGTACTGACATTGACCATTACTACTGTATGCTGACCATTGTACTGACATTGACCATCACTACTGTATGCTGACCATTGTACTGACATTTACCATTACTTACTGTATGCTGACCATTGTACTGATAATGTTGACCATTTTACATGAATGTACTGACATTGACCATTATACTTACTGTATGCTGACCATTGTACTGACATTGACCATAACTTACTGTATGCTGACCATTGTACTGACATTGACCATTACTTACTGTATTTTGACCATTGTACTGACATTGACCATTACTTACTGTATTTTGACCATTGTACTGACATTGACCATTACTTACTGTATTTTGACCATTGTACTGACATTGACCATTACTTACTGTATGTTGAACATTGTACTGACATTGACCATTACTTACTGTATTTTGACCATTGTACTGACATTGACCATTACTTACTGTATGCTGACCATTGTACTGACATTGACCATCACTACTGTATGCTGACCATTGTTGTACTGACATTGACCATTACTTCCTGTATGCTGACCATTGTTGTACTGACATTGACCATTACTACTGTATGCTGACCATTGTTGTACTGACATTGACCATTACTAATGTATACTGACCATTGTTGTACTGACATTGACCATTACTACTGTATGCTGACCATTGTACTGACATTGACCATTACTTACTGCATGCTGACCACTGCTCCGATGCCATGACAGATAGAGCTTAGTTTAGATTGAAATGTCTAGACCGTTATTGTCGCACATAAATAAATGAGTTTGAAGTATTATTGTGATGCTAGACGTGAATGATATTTTCTGTTTTTCTCCCCAGGGACATCAAGCCAGACAACATTCTCCTGGATGAAGAAGGTAGATTTGTGTTCAACACTTATGTTAGCTCCTGTATGCATGGCTTTAGTTCAGTTTGTGCTTCTCAAAATCCCTTTCTTTTGTTAATTAATTTGATCATCTGGGTCAAAGTGGCACATTAGCCGTCCACCAGTTAATTTTCATTTACCTGGTCAATAGTCAGGCTATGTCTATAACACTGAATCTGGTCTAGTTTGTTGTTCTGTCAACCTTTCTGTAGAGACTCGCTGGTCAGAAGATAGCTAAGGATCCCCAAACCACTGCAAAAAACTGTAACTAAATGTTGGAGAAAAAATGTTCAGAATGACCAAACTTTGATAAATCATTTCTGAAAAGAAATCCATACTGTGCAGGACTTTTATCAGAAATAAACATACATAATCAACAAAAGTGTTCTGATTGGAAAATTCTACGGGGCTATAGAACTGGGATCAAACACTGGACTCCACATTACTATTCTATCTCTCTAACCAATGGAGCTAGCTGGTCAACAGAAGTGTCTGTATACAAATATATCCAAACGGAAGTCAAAGGGAGGCCACTGTAGTTATGGAAAAAACACAGTGCAGTGGGACAGGGATCCTTAATAGTTTGTGTAAGTGATATCTAATGCACTAACAAAACGTTATAATATTATTAATCTCCCTTTGACTTCTGTTTGAATATAATTGTATACCAGCTTGAGAAAAAGGGGGTCCTTTTGTGTTCCCGATAGGGTCTGTGAATGATTGTTTTGATAGATTTTGTTTTTTCCCTTGACACCTGTTATGGTAAACCAAGATAACATTGCACAGGAGACACCTCTCATATCACTACAGATTGCAGGAGCTTTGTACAGGTCAGCAGTACCTGGAAGGCAAAAGCAATCGAAGTAATGTATCAGGGAGAGACATGGGTTTTGGTCAGACTCTTGGTCCAGTTACTGATGTACCCTGAGTGACCAGGCCGGCTCATTAGGTGGGCGAGTTACTGGGGTTGAGATCACCATTCCGCTTGTGCTTCGACACTTTAACAGGACATAACTGTTAATCTACCCTCGTCATAAGGTTTGTCCAGAAGTGAATTGTAATGGATGGACTATAGGTTAAGGATTCCCCTTGTCAACTTGGTCAACAGTCAGGAGTTTTGACTGGACAGTCTATATGGGTAAGGGAAACAAAACTACATAAAGCTGGCCTCTTACTGCTGCAGCAACCAGCAAAGTCACATAATGACCTTGGGTTGCCCAGAGATTTGGCACTTACAGCATGCTTGTTCCTGCTGTCTTGTTGGACATTTCTTTAAGAAACTATTTTCATGCTGGGGGAGGTAGTCATTTGATGATCGAGCCAGCTCCCAAGTTCTCGTGCTGATGTGAATCCATCTGAGGAGATAGCACAATCATGGAGGTCATTCATGAAGGGTGTGATCTGAAGCAGAATCAGATGTCCTAATTCTTGACCAGGATTGATCAGATTTGATATGGACACTCGATCACCTAGAGGTTCCACAAGATTCTGAGAAACCCAGAGGCGCAGCAATCTGTGGACTACTTTTACATTCTGTGCTGGGAAGTTATAGAACTGCTTCGGCAATTGGGGTGTGCCCACCACATTTGGGTCCATCTCAACCAAAAGGAATAACTACAGCACAGTAACTCTAATTAGGTGAACTCATTTGAATATTGGTTCTTGCCCAATGTGAATATAATGTACCAGAGAGCAATATGGCTGCCTCCACTCTTACCCACATTAGCCTTTTACTCAAAGCACAGGACAATACTACGAATGTATCATATTAATGAAAAAAGAAATGATGGGCAACAACACCACTGAGTCCGGTACAAAGTAATGTTTGATTTACATCCTACGTGCTGACATGTTTCGGCCAAAGNGTATGGCAGTTCTCAGTTCATAGTATGGGTACCCTGATTTATTTCACCATGGTGGCCAAGTGGTTGAGGCGTCTGACTGTCTGGATCACTATAGCCCTCAACTGCTTGATCATGGGTATTCGAAGCCTACGTGAATTAAAGCAGTTAAAAGGTACTGGCCTCAGGTCGGTGATTTTTCTCCGGGAACTCCAGTTTTCCTCCGCCATCAAACCTGGCATGTCCTTAATTGACAAAAACAAACAAACTTTATTTCACAACTGGGGGCAGTTCAGAAGCTTGAGCTTTTATTTCACTTTTGGTATCATGAGGTATTTTCCCCGTTTACGGTGATGCCTGTGAGAAACACAACACTGCCGTAGGTAATTATCTTTCACTCTTTACCCAGTATCTGAATTCCTGCAGTCACAGTACATTATGGGTGTCATTTACTTTTCAATTCAAAAACCAAAATTGTCAATTTGATCCATATAGACCAAGTGGGACTTACTGAAATTGCCAATTTCCCCACTTTTCTCCACTTTCATCACATACTCTTAAGGTTGAGCAAACTTTTATCAAAGTTAAGTAATTCATCTTAATGAATTTGTTGTTCCGATAACTCCATGGTAGCCATGGCGACCAAATGATAATACAGACTTGTGCAAAGCATATTAATGTTTATTTCAAGCAATGTTCATGGAATAAAAGTAATTTGATGTAAAATTTTATTTGTGCCTGAAAAAGAAATCGATGATATTTTATACCTTTTGATAGGAATTGCTTGGTTATATTTCTGGGAGTTTGATTTCAGAATAAAAGCAAAAATCGAACAAGGTTATGAAGATAATGTTCATGTCATCATATTGATCAGGATGGAAACTATCACTTGATGCGGTTGTGTTACATTCAGGGTGTTTAAATAATGAAAAGAACTGTTATTAAAAAAACCCATGATATTTCCTGAGAAATTTTATACATTGAAACCTTATATCCACATCATAAAACCTGATTTGATTGACACCTGAATTCATGTAGACATCCGGTAATGTTTTTATAATGCTTCAAAATTAATAACAAACCTGCTATTTTATGTCAGTTGCCTTTAAAGTAACCCTGACATACTGCATGGCCTTAAATTGTCCCACGGAAATTTTATTGTAATTAAGGTGCAAAAGCCAGTTGAATTCAACAGAACAGTTTTAGTGAAGAATAAAAAGAAAAAAACCCATTTATTTTCACAACCATCAGACTTTTATAATCCAGACCATTGTAAGAAGTGGATAAATTAGTCATTTACTGAGCCTTCATTTATATCATTACATATACCTCCAAATCAATGTGCTTTAAAAGTGTATTGGTTTTTGGTTTTCTTCCATACATCCATAATCTTGTTGCAAATTCCTGTATATCTTCTTACACAATCAAAATTAACTGTCATTGTATTGACCTAGTTAATTGCTTCCAAATTTTGAATTTTGAATCTTGTGGTTGGGCAGGGTTACAGTAACATTCCTAAGAGGAGTTATGGGATCAAAATTTTTTGATAGCTTGGAATACAAACAATAGATAGCTGTGGGTAAGTCATACCAAAATTGTTGTAAAGACATCATTAAAACTGGTTTTACTATAGGGAAAATTCAAAGGTGATCATGCAAAACGTGTACGATCTACAACTGATCATTCTGAAAAAATCAGGATATATTGGAAATTATTATTGACTTGTGAACCCTTGAATGATTTTTTGAACCTGGTAGCTTATAAGTACCATACGGCTAAAACCAGAGAAATCTGTAGACAGCGAGGTGTTAAATGAGGCAAGGCTAACACAGGAAATCACCAAGTTCTTTACCCATGTCACAAGCCCGTAGATTGGAAATTAACACAAGACCGGTCGATAGCTCATAAACGCCTCAAATCAATCATACGCTTGTATTATATGGACGATTATGTGGTGAGCCCATCAATATGAAATTGATGGAGATCCTTAGCACTCTTTGTAATACCAGTAATTGGAACACGAATTGCAAATTATTGTCTAGTATCATGACATTTTTTTTTATTATACGGTCAAAATTGGTCATCTCCACTGAGCACATTATACCAGACTGCTGCGAGTACAATCTCCACAGCACGTTATACCAGACTGCTGTCAGTACATGACCTATATTTGTGGATTTGAGTTTTCAATGTTATTTATTCCCAAAAGTCTACAGAAATACAACATTTTATATGATTCTTAAAGTATATTTGACTCCCTTAGATCACATTGTAATTTACTGGCGATATGTCATCCTTTACCCACTCTCCCTAATTTGGAGGGAGCTAAATTTTCAACCAATGAATTTGCTAAACTGTTCCTATTTTCATAGGACCTGATGAGTTCATTAAACAGCTCAATTAAAAGATGCCATTTAAGTGTTATTTTTTCCCTAGGGTGTGCATTATAAACTCACATTTGATTTAAGCTTTTAATTCTGAGCACACGTAATACCCCCCAAGGAAATTTTAAAACGTTAGCAAGTACCGTATTTGACCGCAAATAAGCCCCCACCCCTTGTGAAAAAAACACAGACCAAAAGTAGGGAGGGGCTAGCTAGCCTAAAAGTCTAATTCATTTTAGCCTATATAGCTAGCTTCTTTGATTCACAGGTTCACATATATAGCTACTGGTATATCATGTCTTACCTCCTGGTTTTTATCATATATTTTAAACGAAATGTAACAGAATTGAAGCACCATGCATCTTCTTCCAGTGTAGTTACAGTATATATATTCACTGGGTAAGTTGTATGGCTTTTCCAACCTCGACTGTCATTTACTGCCTTTCCTCGGTCATAAACTTGGTATTTATTATATAGTGCTGTAGCAATTCTACCCCCTATATCTCACAATATGTTCTGTTTATTATCACCTTGAGATTATTTCTTCACATGCATAAATGTGTTTTTGTACTTAACCTCGAGATATAATGTAGTGTCACCATGAAATCTAAGTCCATCCTTACTAAAGTCACCTTGAGATCAAAGTCCTTGTATGCGACGCATCTCCCTGAGACCGTCCCTGTATATGTGTTAATTGTGTGACCTTTTGTTCATAGCTTGTCTGTGAGTATATATGCATGGTGTTGTTAATTTTCTGTCTCAACCTCAAACTTTGAAAACTCTATTGATCATAACTTTAAGAAAATGTTGATCATGTTTATTTTTTTTATTTTTAAAATTTCAAAATTTTATACAAATATGTATAAGAATTCATCAAATGAAGGTGGAGTTCATATCCCCACCTGAGCAAGTTAGAAAAAACTTTATATTAAATCTAATGCTTTTAATGATGATGATTTTTTTTCCCACAGGTCATGTCCATATAACAGATTTCAACATCGCCACAGTCCTGAGTGACGGACAGCTAGCCACGTCCATGTCTGGCACCACTCCTTATATGGGTATGGATTAATGCACAATTCTCCTTATATGGTATAATGATTATCACAAGAGTCTCTTTACATCATTTTCCGTCTGTTAATCCTTCAAGAAAATTAGGGCTACAATGATTTTCACTGAGAGCACATATATCATATTGGTGATATATAGCAAGCCTTCAGTTAAAACAGTTCTGGTTTGGATATGTTAATCAGACAGTTATACATCTAATAATGATTTCTATATGCATATTTTGATTGGACAACACTCCTAATTCAATATGCAAATATGTATCACTACCTATGGTACAACATATGACAGTATTATACTCCTTATATGGTACAGTTACATATATAAGGCATTATAACGAGTTATAACGAGTTCCAGGAGCTATCTCTCAAAAATTATAGAAACACAAATAGAACAAGTAAGATAGACAGCGCTCCTTCTCATTTTCTTTTCATCCCTTTCAATCCCTTCGCTTCATACTTTATCCTTTCTATTCATTTTTAGGTCATCTGACCCAAAGGGTCAGGATGACCTAGCTATATATAGTCATTGTGCTTCATCCGTCGCCGTCCGCCGTTTTAAACTTCTTCTCAAGTTCCACCAGTGGGATTGAGCTGAAACTTGCCTGAAATGATCCTGAGATGGTCCTGACCAAGTGTTGTTATTTTTCGGGCCGCTCCAAAATCCAAGATGGCCACCATGACCGCCACCTTAAAAACACATTTTAAACTTCTTCTCAACTTCCACCAGTGGGATTCAGATCAAATTTGCCTGAAATAATCCTGAGATGGTCCTGACCAAGTGTTGTCATTTTTCGGGATGGTCTAAAATCTAAGATGGCCACCATCTTGAAAAACACTTTTTAAACTTCTTCTCCAGTTCCACTGGTGCCATTGAGCTAAAAATTGGTGGGGATGTTTCGGGGTCACAAAAGTGGAAATTAGCTAAAATTTGCTTTATAATGCTATTCCTCCTTAATGCCTAAATGAATATTGCAATCACATATGGTCCGAAATATCATTAGGGGGTGGGGTGGGGGGAGAAGGGAAGGAGGACAATGTTTTCTTGAATAAATGAGGCTGGTTCGACCCCTGGGGGATAGAGGGGCGGCGTCCCGAGAAAGGAAATTACCTAAAATCCTGCTTTTAAACACTACTCGTTAATGCCAAAAGTAGATTACAACAATTTCAGTATGAAACATCATTTAGAAACAATCATTTCTTATATAAATGAGGCAGGTTTAACCACCGTTGACAGCAGGACGGGCCTTAAAAGGAGAAATCTATTCAGATTTAGGTTTAAATGCTTTCTGATAGCTTTACTTACAAATAGTTACCCATTGTTGAACAAAACTACCATCATGGAAAACAAATTCTTAGATTATTTCATAGAAAGTTGAAAAGTTACCATTCTCCCTGCTCAGTATTTGTAGTCATGATCAGATGACCTTTTAGGCCCATGCATGGACCGGCCTCTTTGTTTCTTTTTTTCGTCTGCTGGATAATCCATCTACTCCGTAGTGAAGCGGATATAAAAACACTCAAAACAATCAGCATTATAACAAGTTACCATACCTTGTATCACATACCATTGAAGTCATATACATTTGTACTTTAAATTTATTGGTCTCTCACTGTACTAACAGCTGGGGACTAATTTGGCTTAACTATCACTCGATGACCTTCTGTCTGCCATAAAAAAAATGTCACTTCGTCAAGATTAATTATCGCATTTCACCTAAATCAGTTTTGATGCATGTGCATATATACGTCTACAAATGAAGGGTTGTAGCAAACTGATATCAGGTTTCATGCCCCTATTTACAGAGTTATAGCCCTTAATGGCTCTAATTTATTTGAAATTTTATTCGACACTGATTGCTGCAGTGGTGTACGATCCCACTAGACTGCATGGCACTTAAGGGCTAGCAGTGTTATTTTAGAGCAATTTAAGTGAAATTTTTTAACATTTACTATGAACATATAGGTTAGCTATAGGCTGGTAGAACTTTTCAAATCAACTTGCAGGCTTATATATAAAGTCTAAATATGAAATTGTATGCCCCTGTTGTTCGCTATACTTTTCCATTTTTCAATAAAATTCGATAAAAAGAACAGTGTTGGTCATTTGATACAGTATACAGTATTTATATATATATTTCACGGGAAGAAAGATTAAACAGTTATTTTCTTGCAAGCATAACAACTTTAAGTCCGTATAATGCTGTCTTTTTCTTCTCATAATAATCTGTAAGAAACAACTTGGAAACACTGAATAAGGCTTTAAAATAATTTATTAGATAAAATATTATTAATAGGATAAATACATGCACTCACTGTAATGGATCGACCAATCATAAAGTTGTAAAATTGCATAAAAAAAATACACCATCAACATGCATGTTCACGAACATGCGATATTCATTTAAAATTGATTAAATGTTATGCAATTGTACTTGCAGAACATTGACTGAAATATCATGCAACACTAGTACAATAACTGTCAGCATAAATAAATCAACTGAATTTTTTGAAAGGCTCAGATTTACATGCAAGGATCTGAGGGGAAATTATAGCTTTTCCAGCACAAATTCAGTTATTTTCAACTATAAACTTTGAATGTTTATGTCACTTTGTCAAATAAATTAAAAAATAAAAATACCCCATTCTGACAATTCCATGATGCATAATCCATTTGTGCACAAATTTAAAATGGCATGGACTGTCTGTTAAATTTAATAAACAAACAAATTTGTCCCTGCAGTACAGCTGGTGGCTAAAATATGAATTATAAATACATTGATCAATCAAGTGTCAACGCACTCGATCAATTGCCTTATAGTTAAATACAGATCGTCAATGTCAGTGGGAGTATGCATATATGTGATTCAATGTATGGACATAAAACCATTTCAATTGTCACCACAAAAAACACAATGTCCCATAAATGTAAGTTAAATTATTAGCTGTTTTGTCCAATAAATAAATAAATACATTTACAGATATTCCAAATAGAATAAAATATAAGAAAATATGGCACTACAGTAAGGACAATGTATTTTCGTATTTAACTGTTTAAGAGCTAGAGCTCGGGGCCTGTATTCATGAAACCGTTTTCATGCCCAAGCGTGGATTTTGCGCTCAAACCAACTTTCTTGTATCCCACTTAAATCATGTCAAAAGTCAAAAAGTCAAATGTATAAACATTGAAAACTGTATATTTGGCATTAAGTCTCTTCAAACTTTTTCCAGATGATTGACAAAATAATAAGATTTTCTTATTAATTTATAAATGGGACAAGAAATTAGACTTGAGCACAAAATCCATGCGTACATGGGGATGAGAACGGTTTCATGAATACGGGCCCAGATAACACATTATAATGCATATAGGTATATATTCTGTCTGATTGAGTATACATTATATCTGTTCATTCTCTTTATATAACACTATATATAAATATAAGACACTAATATTAGCACAGTGTTCGTTGCACACTTCACATACATCCTTAGTAAACTTCAGTCTGGTTGTTGTAGAAATTATTAAGCTCTGCTTGTCAACACTTTCCCTGCAGTTTATGTAGCACCATGCAACACTAGTAAAAAGTTAGCTATCAGAACTCGTACCTGCTGCAAACTTCTTGTATTTGGTGTTGATATTTTCTCATAATAGTAAAGCTTGGTTGACAATTATAAGGTAAGTCATATACAATGCTTTGCGTTTTAAGTCCAACTGTTAGACAGTCTGCAGGTATATCTGAACACTTCGAGAACTTCTTGTATGCAGTGTTCATGCAGATACTTCCTCATAATGATAAAGCTCAGTTGGCGATAAATAAATTAAGTCATATATGCAACAAGTTACCCGAACACTTCGTGAACTTCTTGTGTGTGCAGAGTTAAGTTGATACTACTTCACAATAGTAAAACTTAGTTGGCGATGAAATAAGTCATATGACATGCATGCAACACTTTCCATTGTAATTAAGTCCAATTGTGTAACAAGTCATGGTATCCGAACACTATAGCTGAGAACGTAATTCTTGTACGTGGAGTTGATACTTCCTCATAGCAGCTGAAGTATTAACTAAAGCTCTGGTTGACAATAGTCAAAGTCATAGATACAACCCTTTTAGTTTAACACTGACCGTGTTCACGAGTCGGATAATCACGAACACTTGCTGAGAACTTCTTCTATGCGGAGCTGATACTTCCTTATACCTCCGGATCCGCCGATATGTACCCTGTCGTTGTTGTAATCTACAGGAAATCTCAGTTGGTCATACAAACGTACGTAGTGGTCATCCAGTTTCCTCTGTAGCAAGTGGTTAATCTTCAAACGTTGGACGTCGAAATTCAGTCTGGTTAGTCCGGGACACTTATCAAACTGTCCTCTGGTGATGATTTCCGCGACAAAAACGTGTCTCACCCCAGAGAGTGTCAGGTGGTCTACCAAGGCACTGAGGCGATCAAATATCTCCTGTGGCTCCGATGTCTTGGAAATGTCATTTCCTCCTAAATGAATGAACACCACATCTGCTTTAAAGTCTAGGAGCTCCTGTAATAAATGGCCTGGAATCCGTTCTGAACGCATCCCACCTTTTCCAAAGAATCTGCAAGTCCCGTTCAAGTGTAAATCGTGGTTGCAGAATTGTCCAAGTCGTGCAACGTAGCTGGATCCAAACAAGGCATATCTTGTGGCCATGATGATTGGGTTGAGGCTTTTAATCTGTATTAACTATAGGTTTATCCACCCCTGGCTTCTTAGAGGTCCAGCTGTAGATGTGTCAGCTTCTTCTTTAACTGTGTATAATACACAGGATATTATGAATCCAGTTAGTTCTATACAGGGGTAGCCCAAATCTGTATGATGTTTCCAAGAACTGTTTTAATAGTCTACAATACACAAAGATTATGTGGTCTTCACTTTTTGCCTGTCAGATGTTTCTATGATACCTGTATATTGGTCAAGCCCCTCTTATACCCGAGAGATTTACCAGTGGTTGACCATCTCTCCTCAGTATCTGCATGATGACACCTGTAGCATTAGTTACAAGGTCACAGGTGAGCCAAACTGATATGACACCTCTGATTGGTTTGGTCTATGTCCTGACACCTGAATTGATGAACAATGAGTACAGACACCTGTGTTTAGACTGACCAGCAATTAACGAGCGGTCAGTCTCAGGTGTGTTGTTATATGGAGTATTACCTGGCACTTGGCAGGTTTAAACAAAACAGTGATCAGGTATAGTTTTAAACATATTGTTTCCCTACGATTAGGAATCAATTGGGTTGTTTAATTTGTTTTATCAACAGTGAATTTGAAGAGAAACAAATAGTTTGATTTGATGAAAATATTTTTAAGACATTAATATTTATTACATTTGTTCCATGTTTGTATGTATTGGTATATATATTTCTTAAAATCAAGAAAATACATTAAAATATGTTTCAACAAACTTAAATGTTTCATAAATAGAAAAAGTTAAGCAATATCAAGGAAAATTTCATATATTTAAAAATTAAGATAATTAATGATATAATTTAGATGATAAAGCATGTTAATTTTATCAAGACTAATAATAATTTAAAATGGTGTTTTTAACAGCTAGTCTTGAATATAAGTACATGTGAAATATATTTGATACTAAATTTGAAAGCCCATTGAAAATTATATATTTATTTTACATTCTCACCACTTTTAAAAAAATTGACATTTTTTTCCCAGTAATGATCATGAATGGCCAGAAATATTTCAAATATATGGAAAAGGAATGATTTTTATGCCACTGTTTTTGTTGTCAGCTCCCGAGGTGTTTGCGTGTGCAATGGACGAGTGTACAGGATACAGTTTTGCTGTGGACTGGTGGTCGCTTGGTATCTGTGCCTATGAAATGCTAAAAGGAAGGGTAAGTCCTTAAAAATCTATAAAAAAAAAAATCTTAAGCTAGAATGAGTATAACAATGTCTAGCATGTAGATATACTTTGAAATGTGTGGGAATGACCTCTTATTAAGTTTTTAAAAAACCCAAAGAACAGTAATAGAATTTGAAAAAGCACACATCAAGGTATTAACCTATATTAGAGGGCCTGGGATTCAGATTGTTAAATGCAATTAATTAATTAATTTGGCTTGAGTAATTCATGCAGGAAAACCAATTGAATTCGAATGAAGCCTTATGTAGAAATCAATGATAAATTAATAGGTAAGAGTATTTTGTTGAAAAGTGTGATGAAATTCAGGCCCTATATTATATACTTTTAAGAGAGGGATGAATTCAATATTCTATAGAAATCTGTAATGAATTTTAGCCCTATAACCTTTTAGAGGCTAATTAATTTCAAGTGGATTAATTGGTAGAAATCTGATAAATATGAGCGCAGTGATTCATGAATTTATTAGAGGTCTTTGTTAGAAATACTTTTACTATTTTCTGATGAATTTGAGATCTGTATTTGTAGCGGCCGTATGAGATTCACAACAGTACCTCTATACATGAAGTCAAACAGATGTTCACCGGTTTCAAAATTCACTTCAACTCAATTTGGACTGATGGCCTCAAGGATATACTCAAACAGGTAGTTTTTTTTTTACCAAATTTTGTATGTCGCCCCATCTAATCTCGAGGAAATTGATAAGGAATGACAGACATACATTCAACTTAAACAAACAGGTGAGTATTGGGACACCCTTAGTCCAGCAGTTGTTACCTCTTGATCCCCCTCTGTACCTGGGTAAGGGTGAAAGTGAGTGTGTGAACTGGGAGTTGTATAGGTGTTCTGTTTATTATGGGTTCCTATTTCCATTGACTCATTTATATTTCTAAATCATTTGAATGTTACAGCACAGAATTACCCAACCCAAAACATAAACTCCACTCTAGACAGGTGGTGCTGAGCAGCAAGGGTATGTTCACATATCTGTGTGGGAAATACACGTATCTGTGTGGGAAATACGCAGATCTGTGTCGGAAATACACATATCTCGGTAGGGAATACACAGATCTGTGTGAGAAATACACAGATCTGTGTGGGCAATACACATATATGGGAACTTTATTATATATCTGCATGGGAATACGTATGGGGAATTAACATATCTGTGGGGGAACTTAATTATATCTGCATCGGAATACGTATGGGGAATTAACATATCTGTGTGTGAACTATATTATATATTTGCATGGGAATACGTATGGGGAATTGACATATCTGTGTGGGAAATACGCAGATCTGTGTCGGAAATACACATATCTCGGTAGGGAATACACAGATCTGTGAGAGAAATACACAGATCTGTGTGGGCAATACACATATATGGGAACTTTATTATATATCTGCATCGTAATACGTATGCGGAATTAACATATCTGTATGGGAACTTTATTATATATCTTCATGGGAATACGTATGGGAATTAACATATCTGGGTGGGAACTCTATTATTTATCTGCATGGGAATACAAATGGGGAATTAACATATCTATGTGGGAACTTTATTATATATCTGCATTGGAATACATATGGGGAATTAAAATATCTGTGTGGGAACTTTATTATATATTTGCATGGGAATACGTATGGGGTATTAACATATCTATGTGGGAACTTTATTATATATCCGCATGGGAATACGTATGGGGTATTAACATATCTATGTGGGAACTTTATTATATATCTTCATGGGAATACGTATGGGGTATTAACATATCTGTGGGCGAACTTAATTATATCTGCATCAGAATACGTATGGGGAATTGACATATCTGTGTGGGAACTATATTATGTATCTGCATCGGAATACGTATGTGGAATTAACATATCTGTGTGGGAACTTTACTATATATCTGCATGGGAAAACGTATGGGGAATTAACATCTCTGTGTGGGAACTATATTATATATCAGCATGGGAATATGTATGGGGAATTAACATCTCTGTGTGGGAACTTTATTATATATCTTCATGGGAATACGTATGGGGCATTAACATATCTGTGTGTGAACTTTAATATATATCTGCATCGGAATACGTATTTGGTATTTACATATCTATTTGGGATCTTTATTATATATCTGCATTGGAATACATATGGGGAATTAACATACCTGTGGGGGAAATTAATTATATCTGCATCAGAATACGTATGGGGAATTGACATATCTGTGTGGGAAATATATTATATATCTGTATGGGAATACATATGGGGCATTAACATATCTGTGTGGGAACTTTATTATATATCTGCATGGGAAATACATATTCATTTGTAAATGTGTGGGGAAACATTGTTGTGGAAAAAACTCATATCTCTATGGGAAATATATATATATTATATGCAGGTTTTACAAATTCATGTGGTAAATAAACTTATCTTAGTGGTGGTTACATAATTATGTTGGAAATACACTTATCTATGTGGGGTTTACATACCTGTGTGGGAAATACACTTATCTGTGTTGGAAATACACTTATCTATGTGGGGTTTACATATCTGTGTGGGGAATTAACATACCTGATTGGGTAGTACGTCGGACAAGAAAGGCAAACATACCAATGTTGTCATTTAAAAATTTAATTACGCTATGTTTCTATTGCATCAACTGTGCACAAGACATTTCTAATTTGCTTTTCTTTGCCTTCTTTTGGACAAGAACAAAATAACTGAAAAACATTCATATTAATATGGTCTGTATATGATTGCCGACGTTATTGAAAGCAGGATTTATGTATTATTTAAAACAGTTTGCCCAATTCAAAGGAATAGACCCCTGAGGTATTGACTGGGAAAATTGATCAGTGGTGGAGGCTAACATTATAATGTACCAGTAAAACAATCAAAATTTGTTCATTGACATCCAGGGAATACGTTATCTCATATAGCCTATTAATCATTTAAGAATGCAATACGATACAAGTTTTAGTTAAAAATAAAAAAGTGTGTTTAAAATTTTATTTCCTTTTGGTTAGATTGCATTTTCAATGACAGATTTATTTATGAAGTTTCAAATGTTATGTATGACAAAGTCAGTTTGATGATGACATTGGAGAAATAATTTATTGAAAATTCTAAGGAAATCAATAGGTTTCACATCTGTGTTGCCACATGCACAGCACAGTAATTGGCTCGATGTACCTGACAACTCCATGCCATGTCATTGTTTACATCGAAAGAAATGGAAAAAATCAGGTAGAAAAAAAACCCGGAGACAGGAATAACACATATTGATTTTATATTGCAACATTGAAGTCTGGTCAGGTTTTTCCTGATTTTAGGTAGATTTTCAGTATTGGATAAATGGCTTACCTGATCTCCCGCAATGGATATGCCTCTTACATCATTCACCCCTGAAATTTCATAATGAACTATTCCAACTTTTGAATTGGAAGGGTTCAAATGTGTCTTCAGGGGTGAATGAATTAATGATAAGTTGGAATTAATGGAACCGGGTTAACTATAGACCTTCAGAAGTGGATGCGTCTATTTCTGTAGGTAGAGTTGACAGTTATGGGACTGGGGTAACTGAAAATCTGGGACTGTTTCTACAGGTAGAGTTGACAGTTGTAGGATTGGGCTAACTGAAAATCTGGGACTGTTTCTACAGGAAGAGTTGACAGTTATAGGACTGGGCTAACTGAAAATCTGGGACTGTTTCTACGGGTAGAGTTGACAGTTGTAGGACTGGGCTAACTGAAAATCTTGGACTGTTTCTACAGGTAGAGTTGACAGTTGTAGGATTGGGCTAACTGAAAATCTGGGACTGTTTCTACAGGTAGAGTTGACAGTTATAGGACTGGGCTAACTGAAAATCTGGGACTGTTTCTACAGGAAGAGTTGACAGTTATAGGACTGGGCTAACTGAATATCTGGGACTCTTTCTACAGGTAGAATTGACAGTTATAGGACTGGGCTAGCTGAAAATCTGGGACTGTTTCTACAGGTAGAGTTGACAGTTATAGGACTGGGCTAACTGAATATCTGGGAGTCTTTCTACAGGTAGAATTGACAGTTATAGGACTAGGCTAGCTGAAAATCTGGGACTGTTTCTACAGGTAGAATTGACAGTTATAGGACTAGGCTAGCTGAAAATCTGGGACTGTTTCTACAGGCAGAGTTGACAGTTGTAGGACTGGGCTAACTGAATATCTGGGGCTGTTTCTACAGGTAGAGTTGACAGTTGTAGGACTGGGCTAACTGAAAATCTTGGACTGTTTCTACAGGTAGAGTTGACAGTTATATGACTGGGCTAACTGAAAATCTGGGACTGTTTCTACAGGAAGAGTTGACCGTTGTAGGACTGGGCTAACTGAATATCTGGGGCTGTTTCTACAGGTAGAGTTGACAGTTGTAGGACTGGGCTAACTGAATATCTGGGACTGTTTGTACAGGTAGAGTTGACAGTCCTGGGACTGTTTCTATAGGAAGAGTTGACAGTTATAGGACTAGGCTAACTGAATATCTGGGACTGTTTCTACAGGCAGAGTTGACAGTTGTAGGACTGGGCTAACTGAAAATCTTGGACTGTTTCTACAGGTAGAGTTGACAGTTATAGGACTGGGCTAACTGAATATCTGGGAGTCTTTCTACAGGTAGAATTGACAGTTATAGGACTGGGCTAACTGAAAATGGGGGACTGTTTCTACAGGTAGAGTTGACAGTTATATGACTGGGCTAACTGAAAATCTGGGACTGTTTCTACAGGAAGAGTTGACCGTTGTAGGACTGGGCTAACTGAATATCTGGGGCTGTTTCTATAGGAAGAGTTGACAGTTATAGGACTAGGCTTACTGAATATCTGGGACTGTTTCTACAGGAAGAGTTGACCGTTGTAGGACTGGGCTAACTGAATATCTGGGACTCTTTCTACAGGCAGAATTGACAGTTATAGGACTGGGCTAGCTGAAAATCGGGGACTGTTTCTACAGGTAGAGTTGACAGTTGTAGGACTGGGCTAACTGAATATCTGGGGCTGTTTCTACAGGTAGAGTTGACAGTTGTAGGACTGGGCTAACTGAAAATCTGGGACTGTTTCTACAGGTAGAGTTGACAGTTGTAGGACTGGGCTAACTGAATATCTGGGACTGTTTGTACAGGTAGAGTTGACAGTCAAGGACTGAGCTAACTGAATATCTGGGACTGTTTCTACAGGCAGAGTTGACAGTTGTAGGACTGGGCTAACTAAAAAGTTGCAGCAGTGGACATCACTCTTCCTAGATCAGCAGTTATGAAACCTGTGATAACTGGACCCTAAATATTACAGAAATCTTTGAATAATGAATTCTGAATCGATCATCATATAGACCCCTGTGGCACTCAGAGGTGTTTTTATGAAAATGGAAAATATGATACATATGTATGATATTTGTTTTGTTCATAACATTTTAAAGTAAATTTTCAAACAACTCCAAGTTAGAAAAAAAAACGCCTTACAAATTGGAGCTCTTCTTTTGTTGGAGGTGCAACACTGAGCCCTGGGATTCTGTGCCTTAAGACTTGGTAATGTTCATACACTCACAGAACTAACTATTGATCCGTTACATAAATTGTACCTTAAGCACGATTAGAGAGGGAAGTTGAGTATTTAAAGTAATTAAAGTGTTAACAAAGGGTTGCCCAATGAGAAACAAATTGTGTGCTCCAATCTCAGCCAGAACAGAAAATGGGTATTTTACTCTTTAGAAATTGCATGCACCTAAAGGATGAGAGATTCCAAGGAAGACAAAATTATCAGTGAGTGCAAATCACAGAGTGTGACAGTGTGTTGCCTATTAAAATATAACCACTAATGGGCTCACAGTGGCCGAGTGGTTAAGGCGTCTGCATGACTATCTACGAACGCGAGCCCTCCACTACTGGGTCGCAGGTTCAAAGCCGATGTGAGGTACTCTCCAGATACTGGCCGTAGGTTGGTGTTTTTTTGTCCAGTACTTAAGCTTTCCTCCACCACCAAAACCTGGCACGTCCTTAAATGACCAAAGCTGATAATAGCCCGGACGAAAAACACAAAACAAACCAAATTATCACTAAAACAGAACCACCATTAACTGAGTAAGTAGGAAGGAAGGTAGGTGCCAAGATAGGTATTATTCACCTGTCATTTCTTCACAATGAGGTATTGTTCACCCGTCATTTCTTCACAATGAAAACTACAATTGACAATGATACAATTTTGACCATGTCTTTTAATTCATGGGTTGTAGGGAGCCTTCTGTTATGACCCATCCTCAATCTACCTTTATAGAGCAATGGCAAAATTGGGCCAGGAGCCCTTGTATCATGATTTTTTTGGTCAAGGTTAAGTTTATATAACTTATAATGTTTCAGGTCTGCCATTTATGTTCCAAACCACAAATAATGTATATTGGTGGCTCGGTGCTTGTTTTTCGAATTTTCGGTCTCCTCTGTTTGTCTCCCAAATGGATTAAGATTTTTATCTGCTCTGGCTAAAGGTCAAGTAAGCTTATGCTGTGGGACATTGTTTCTCAATCAGTGTTCCACTATTTAGTCTGGAACAGCTGAAGGGATTTTGATAAGATTTGATACTCTTTAAAGAATCCCTGAGGATAAAATTTTATACAATGTAGAAATGTTTTGGCTCTCATGAGATAGAGGATCATGCATACCCATTGGCAAAATAGGGAAAACCTTAAAAACTACTTCTTCAATGCATGTAATAGCATCCAAACTTCTTTGAGTCCACATTGACATAAAATGAAGAGCTTTGAAGCAGTTTAGGTTGAAGGTCAAAGATCAAGTCTCAAATATTTCCGAACTAAAATTGAGGTCACCACTTTTTACATTGCCTAGTTTAATGATTTGTTATCATAATAAGGTTATCATCAATATAAGACCGTTTTTCAATAATAGATCAGAGGACTTTAGTTCGAGATGAATTTGTCTTATAATGGGACCCTTATAATATTGTTTAAGTAAAGGATATATGGCTCTTTTGGGGTACTGAGTGGCAGCAAGGCCCAATAGGGGGATATGAAAAAAGGTGTTGCCTCCCTTGTTGGAGTAGATTGAGTGTTAACAATAATTGGTGCAAATAATTATATTTGTGACCAGCTGTTATTGTTCAGGTTGAATTGTGAAAGCCAAGATGCTCCCAACCCCCTGACCTCTGATTTGCTGATAATTAATTCTTACTCAATTTTCATCAGGCCAATTTTGACATACCTTTTTGCAAGTGTTACTCTGACCTTGCCCAAATGTTATTTTAAATTGTTAACCCTTTCACCGCTATAGACCATAATGGACACATCCATATAAATGCATGGCAGAGTCTACTGAAGTAACGTAGGGGTGAAAGGGTTAACCAAATGACATTCGGAGATGGATACTTGCTCTCTGATGGGTTGAGACACCTTCACCCTTAACTTAACTTTAAGAATAATGCTCTCATGGTTCCTGTATAGTTGCATGCATACAAAATCATAATCCAGTCTTTTTTTAATTCAAGCAGGAGGCCAATTCTAACAAGATATCATACAAATATTCCCGTCATTGCCCTAACCAAGTGTTATTTTAATTCTTTGTGTCATAATGTGAATGTACATGTCTTAGCACTCATACGTAGCCTTATTTTAGCGCTTTTCACACATTAAATATTGTGCTAAATTATGATTGGACCAATTGATGTTCCTATATATTATTTAATTGTTTTCTTTTGCAAATATTGTGGATATAATTCTAACTGTTACAATGCACACAAAATCCGAGTCCACTAAAATAAGTACGTTTCCAGTATATTGCACCTGGACCATGTCTTAATTCAGCTTGACTCTAAAACCTGTCAGTTTTGTTGTTTAAGGATTGATTGGAGTTATAAGGAAAGTTTTTTGGTCTTTTGCAGTTACTGTACCTTGACCCCAACAAAAGAGTTTCCAGTTTGGAGATGTTGAAGAAGCACTCCTATGTATGTGATGTGGATTTCTCCAAAGTGATGTCCCGCGAAATCAAGCCCTCTTTTGTGCCTTCCGTATGTATCTGTCTCTCGTTGTTATAAGATTTACACTTTGGCTAATTAATACAAGTAGGACACATTGATATCAATGCAGCATTCCACAATTTTTTTTGTACTTTATTGTTCTAACTAGTTGGTTTAAGGTCATAGGAGTGTATTGATAAACGGAAATAGGAAGTACATCCCTAGTTGAAAATCCAATGTAGGGAGACAGTATCACAATTTCCGCACATTTTAATGTTTAATATTAAACTGATGAATATTGTATGTTTGTTATTGACAGAACAATGTGTTCTCTCAATATTAAAGTATTTCAAAGCAATCCAGGCATTAATGCAGTTGTTTTTTATCAATGAATCACATGTGTCCATTTTTCTGTACTTCAGGAAACCGGCTGCCTATTTCACTACTGTGAAGTTTTTCAAGAACGATAACTCATACATGCAAATTACTATGTGTATATGGTTTTATCATAAAATGTCAATTTTTAATCGTTTATAGATAATTAATGTTACACAATTTCAGCATTTATTAAATTGATATACATTAATGCAATACTAATCTATGTCAGTATCATTGTTATTGACATTATTTTGTAAAATATTGTGTCTTTCATTTTTTTTTTTAAATTCACTCCTTTTTACATAAATTTCTTTTTAAAATCCTTAAAATTCTGACAGCCTTTAATTTTTGTGGTAGGACATTTTCTTTAATTCAAAGCAATATAACTACAAAATGTGAAGAAATTCTACTGAGAAATGGTGACACAATCCTATTACCTTAAGGCAATACCTGGTGTGTAAGACCTTACCAAATCTTTTAACAAAAGAGTTCCAAAATTAGCAAAGTCTATAGAACTTCAAACATTAAGAACTTATGAACAGGAAATCAATCAGACAGGCTGACAGGTATAAAAGAAGAATACATTATATGTGTACATACATTGAAAAACTTGATAAATAACTAATCAACCATGATCAAGACTCATGCAAGGGAGATAACTCCTACACAAATGCACATTGTTAATTAGATCAGAGTTATATTTGCTACACTTATGAAAAAATTATACACTGTACTAAAAACGGCTTTATATTCAAACATTTAAGTACTTTGTGATTTTCCTCAAATTAGGCAATTTTGATGTAACTTGTGGAAAATACTGAAGTATAACGTTTTGTAACCTTTCAGATAAGGCTTACACTAGTTGAAAGTGAATCTTTGTGACTTAACTTCTTTTAATATATTATCCAATTATGGGTACCTTAGATCATTCAGTGAAAAAAATACTTATTTGGTATTACAAACAAAGCAAGAAGTATTGTTCTTATAATTATTGGAACCAAAATACACATATCAACATAATCTTGTGCAGAGTTACCTATTTCTTATACGTAATATTATTTGAAAACTGACATTTAAAAGAAAATGACATCTTGTTTTTTCAGAAAGACCATTTAAACTGTGATCCTACATATGAATTAGAGGAGATGATAATAGAGTCTAAACCTCTTCATAAGAAGAAGAAACGATTGGCCAAACAGAATTCCAGACGCAGTGAGAGTGGCTGTTCTACGGTACACTTTAAGCTGGGTGTTGTACCAAGGGAGACTACTCTATTAGACACACGAGTTACCAATTACATGGTCTCAGACCTCAATTTATTGCACTAAATATAGTGTTCGACCATTGGGGGAAATGGAAGGATTTTTAAACTTAGCTCTGACAGGATCTTATTTCTTTTTCATTATATATATTCTGTTCAAAACCATGAAACTACAGTGAGCTGGAATGTACCACATGATCAAATTTAATAAAGATATTTTTATTTGAATGTTATTCCCTTCCTATTATCACAAATTATCAATACTCAAGCTTCATCACTCTTTGTGTTTTGCTGAAAATGCTAACTGAAAATAAAAAAAATGTCAAAAAATAAAATCACTAGAATATTATTGAACAACTCTATGTAATAAAAAAAATTGTTCATAAATTCTTTCCATGGAAATTTTGAAAAGTTCACTGGTATGTTCATGTAGAGAAGATAAATGGCAGAAAGGGGAGACTATTTCTGTCAATTCATTGTCACATCAGGGGAGACAATTTCTGGTGTTGGTAAACTGTGTCAGGTCTTTGGGAATGATATCCTTCTTAAAGGATGAAAATTCATGATTGGAGTAGAATTAAAAACAAGGAAATTTGTAATTAAGAGCATGAAAAGACAAGTGAGTCATTTTTCCTTTCAGGAAGGTGATACACAAGACGGAGAGGAAGAAATCTACAAATATTTCCCAATATATAATAGGGAAAGGTAAGCTTTCTAAGGAAACAGTGGATATATAGGACATTTTTGTGGTTGTGAATTACAGTTAATTATCTTTTCGTTGCACATAAAAAAAAAATATGTTGACCGCCTTCCATGTACATAACATCTCTCTGTTTAATGTTATCAAGCTGTGATTTTCATTGATTATGAATTGTTAAAAATATGTATTTATAAGATTCTTGACAAATAGTTTTTTTCTTTTTTAAGTCCTAACCACTTTTCTATTTACTTTTTAAAAGTAGGTCACAGGCGCCGGATGGTAAGATATCTGCTGCAGTATAATGGAAGTTAGCATCATTCTCACTCTAGTGTATAACTGTAGTGTAAACTGTCTTTACTGTCTTGTCGTTGAACATGCGTAACAATATTCCTTATTCTCTTCGACAGCATCAGGTTTGAATTCAGAAAGTTTGCATAGGGACACTAGCTACAGGGGTGGCATGGTATTGTGAAACACGGTGAAATGAACCGAAAAAAACTTTGTAAGTTTTTTTTTACGGGAGCCTTCATTTCACCATGGGGTTGTTCATATAACTATAATGGTGAAATTATCATTCACTCTGGGGCGGTTCATATTACCATAATAGTGAAGTGAACTGCGGTTCATACTACCATGGACTTCGCATTACTGTACTACATTGGGATAACACTATATATATAGATGTTAACTTCCAATCACCAGATATTATGTATTAACATTATTTCATTGATAATTAATCAATAACAAACTGGAACTGTTACTCAAAGGCTAACCTGAAAATATCATGCTTGTCCATGGCATATATATGTGTGCCTGACTCCCAGGGAAAAAAAGTTAATATCAGAATAATACTGCTAAATGCTTGACAGTCTTACTACACCCGATTGTTTATCTAACCAAAGAAACTCAATGGAACCTTCATTTTGAAATCACAGCTTGTTGGTTTAGTAAAGGGGCAAAACTCTGTAAAGAATTGTCAAAAAGAAAAATAAATTGCATAGTTATTTGCCATGCAATACTACCATAATGACGTGATGATTCCACAACTGATATTTTTCAGTCAAGTAAATTGTTCTAAACCCAATATGGAAGATGTTCATCCTTCGAAGCTAGATTTCATCTAATATTACTCTATGCCTTACATTATATTGTGCTTGGTGGGCAATACAAATCCAAGTGAAGATTATCATATTTTCACAATTATCGTCTTTAATGTGTTAAAAACTTGATAACCCTGTGTGTGTAAATATTAAAAAGAAAAAAAACTACGACCATGATCTGGAAATTTTGTCTGGACTTCAGCCTTTGATTTTAAAATTATAATATTTGCAAAAGCCTGACTTAGCAAATAGAGATTAGGGTTTGACTGATATTGGTACAGATATAGCGAGGAAAGAGGATGGAGTTTATACTCTATATAAATACAGTAACTGGAAGGGTTTACTCCCTTCACTTCAGGAATGCTGCTCTCGAGTCTGTAGAACCCTTTTATTCCACTTTTAGTAAATCTGCTTCTGTCTTGTTGCATATTGGACCTGAATAGTGGAATAAATTAATGTCTTGTGTGGATACTCATGAATGACGGACTTGAATGTCATGTAGTGTACAACTTCTCCAGTTATACTTGTGCATCTTTATCTTTCCATCTGGCACTGCATCACTCACTTTCACTGTCTTTTGTGAATGAGTAATCTTTTTGTATAGCAATTGTTTCGAGATATATCTTATATACCGTAATTTACCTAATTTGTATGTGACCTAAAATAAGATGCAAGCAATGCTATTGGTAGGCGTATATATTTAGATATAATATTATATCCTATTATTACGACACTTTTCAGTAAATGAGAACTTTATTGAAAGCAAAGATTCACACTGTTCTTGAAACCATATACTTTTTACCCAAAATCTAGAGTACTGAGCACTACACAAAAACAAATTTATTTTGTTAATTTCTGAGCAGTTGGACCTATTAAGCTACCCCTCTTTTTTCTGGTATAGGTTTCCAGTCTCTTCACCAAAATTAACAGATTTACTCTAAAAAATGTCTATTATGGCTTTTTTTTTAAAGAATTTTGAAAGATCATTTTATTTTCCAAACATTTGTAAGCCCCAGGGCAGTTGTTAGGTAAAATACAGTTTGTATACTATGTAACAGATACATTATTGTGTTTTTGAAAACATAACACATCGATTCAAATAAAGTGAAAAAATATGGTCACAGCACCAGTTATGCATTGGCACCTCCAGTTGTATCGCATGAACTGTTGACACTAAATCCTGGTCACAGCACCACATTGTGAAATGTTCATATTTGGCTTAATGATGGTAATTAATGCATTTGTAGCACTATCAGTGAGTGTGTTCCTGAGTTTTCTAGCATGATGTATAGAACTGAACAAAAAATAGTGTAACTAAATCCTGGTCACGGCACCAAATCTTGTAGTACTGATACAGTATGTATTTGACAAGTTTGTAGCATGATAAACACTCTACAGCAAGGCTAGTGACACATTGCACTCAAGACCTTCACAATGCATGGCACACAATTCCATCATGGAGAGTTAATATCTTGGATAATAAGTCGGTGCATTAGAGTTAAATATGTAGATTTATTGATGTACTCCACCAGCAAGATTATAACTGTGTATAAAAGTTGAATTTATATTTCCTCCTCTCAGTTTAATCAATATATATAGATAAGTATCTCCAACTTTATACAGAATTTTCTGTCTAGATTTATATATGCTAAAATACTAACGAGAGCTAGGTAGCATGAACCTGTCATGTGTAGAATTAATTGTAACTTCTATGCAGGGTTTGACTTTCACAGATTTAATAAATATTTGAAACTGAACCTTTTATTCTTTCAGAGATATAATGACTATTATGAGAATGAACATAGGAGAGGACACATCGAAAGTCGAAATCAACAGTTGTTTCGACGGTGAAGGGGAGAGCCAAATCACACCTGTTCAGGACAGCCTGGTAGAGGAGGAAGAGGAGGAGGAGGAAGAAAATGACATTACAGATGATGAAGGCCCTCCACCCTCGCTCGCAAACTACGGTCTGTCGCCAAGGAACAGTGATGGATTCGGTTGTAGCTTTGTGTCCTCAAATCTCCCAGCCAGCGACAAGAGAGAAGTGTACCGTGGCGTCCGAGCACGCTCCCTGGATTATTACCATGGGCCTGTACCAAGGAGAGACATGGGGCGCAAATACTCCCACCAACCCACTTCCTCAAGCTGACATCAAGGGAGGTTACTCTCATCAACTGGTTGTTGAATTAAACAACGCAAACCAGAAAATGTGAATTTAATTTAGTACTAGAGATTTTTTGGTTTGTGATTTTCTAATCTAAAAAAGATGATAATGAAGACAGGTGTTTCAAAGATGAAAATGAACAAAAAACATTACACAAGTATGTGCATTGATATGGAAGGAGTTGTGACTGTAACAAATATGGAATGATTGCTTTTTTACCCCAATATACTTGTGAAGGAAAAGTAATAAGGGAACTACAAGTAGGCCATGGTGAAATCTGCTGTTAACATTACTACATTGCTGAGATTACCACATCTACCACCCAGCTGGACCGTTTATTACCATAATTTACCCTGTTAAGGGTGAATCTATCAGGACACTGAATATTACAGTAAAACCTCGTTATACTGCCACCATTTGTACAGAGAAATTCTGGCATTATAAAGGGGTTTGGTGATAAATTGAAGGAAACATGTACAAAAAAGAGAGAGGAAAAAACCTTGAAATATGTTGGCAGTAAGTGAGGTGGCATTATATCGAGGTTTTACTGTGGTTCATAGCATCCTATACATGGTAATGGCATAAGAAAGGTGAAATCAATAATGGGTTGAAATATTGAATTTACAAGTGAAGGGCGAAAGTTTGAAAGGGCGAAAGCTTCCTAGCTGGTATACAGTAATGTGTGTTTCCCATTTACATTTAGTGTACAGTTTAAATTTGGGCTTACAAGATAAAGCAAGTTTCTCAGGTTTCTCCAGACCAGGGCTTGTATTCTTGAAACCATTTTCATGCTCCGAGCATGGATTTTTTGCTCAAAATAGATATTTTTTTATCTTGCGTAAATAATTTGACAAATAAATATGATAAAGATATTCAAGTGTATATCTTTCCAAAATTCTTCCAATCATTGACAAAAGGGGATTTTTTATTCATTCACCAACGGAACATTTACAAGAAATTGGGCTTGAGCACAGAATTGGAGTTTGAGCATGAAAATGGTTTCATGAATATGGGCCCAGGTCTAGTTTCGAATTTGAGAGTTAACTCAGTATTTAATATGACTTTCAAAATGCATTCTGGCACCTCTGCAATTGAAGTCTGTGAATATATTTGTTTTCCCTTTATTTTGTACAGTTTTATGAACTATAAAATGTACTTACAAATTCATACTTTATTTCTCGAAGGTAGGAAAAGGATATTAGAAAAAAATTTATCCTGAATATGTTAATTATTGATTTTAAACCTAACCACAGACACAGGAAGACAACTTTCCTGATGCAAATGAAATTTACAATGTTACATTAAAGATCATTCATATTAAGACACAGTTCATATTTAAATATTGTCCTAACTGGGTAAGCAAAGGTAATGTAAAATCTGTGTCATCTAATACAACATATCTACATATATATACATGTACTGTATTAATCTTACGATAAGCCAGGGGGGCCAAAACAGGCTCTCCGACTCAAAGAAGGGTTTGGGTTTATAACAGGTCAATACATCTAGCATCCTCGATACTCCAAGGATTACGCTCAGTTTCGCTCTCTGCACCCCTTGAATATGTCATAACAAAATTGAAGGCTCAGTGTGTGCGGCTCCACCTTATTGATGAGACGAGAAGACTAGTTTGATCCTTTGAAGTACATCAAAAGCATCCCACGATCTCGCTTAACGGTAAAAATTGACTTGACTTTGAAGTCGGGTGTCGCCTCTTTGTAATCTTCAAAGAACAGGTATCAGCCTTGTAATCTTCAAAGAACAGGTATCAGCCTTATAATCTTCAAAGGACAGGTATCAGCCTATCGATAGGTCAGGTGTTTTTTTTTACCAGAGACAAATGAATCAGCTGTCTTTGTGCCTTTATTTTTCTTTGACATATTCCGGGGGTGCAGAGAACATAAGTGAGCGTGAACCCTTGATATCCAGGATGTACATCTAGCAACTGTTGACAGTTTACAGATTGTGCAATAAATGTACACTACTGAACCTGTACAAGTTTACATACTGTTGACAATGTGATGTTTAATTATTTTGTCCTTGACAAGTGTTACTTACAACCTTGACCTTGAGATAGATTTACTTGGTGTCCTTATGATTACTTAGCCTTTTTAACCTTGTATCTGTGAGATTTTTTTTTGTCTTAGTGCTCGGCAATCTTGACCTTTCATTATAGTATGAAATTCATTCCATTAAATGCAGATTCCTTTATCCTTAACTCAAGGTAGTATGCTGATGGTAATACCATCACATTCATTTACAATTGAATATTTACATCTGTTACAAGGAACAATATAATGTCACAGTAAAAAAAAAAAAAGTATTTTCAGGCCTAACACTATACTGTAACTAAAAATGGGGAAATGTGTCATATTTGTGACATAAAATTTTCATGAAAACACTATAGGTATGGTTTAGTGATTAAAACGTGTTGCTTCAAGATGTATCTCGGTAAATTTCAGTAAAAAACAACTGATGCAAATAAATTAAAAAAAACCCCAAAACAATCAATGGAAATCGCCGTTAAGTACAGGTCATCCAAAATATCACCACAGGATACTGGTCCTGAAATTGTTACCCTGTGTGATTTACCCAACTTTACTCCTCTATAGACAATAATTTTGTGCAGATCAGATAAAAATTCATTTTGAGAGAACAAATGTAATCTGCAAACTTATTTAAGTATCCTGGTACATTTGTATATACTCGTTACTTTCAAGCAGGTTTTAGTCCTTGTTTTTGTTTTATTGTACATATATATATGGTATTGTACAAATATCAACAGTTTAAAGCCTAATAAATTTATTACTATTATGGTAAGTTTTGCTGTGTTCTTGTGTTTTGCCACCAGGTCGGTCTGATAATTAGGCAATGGTCAAAACTTGATGAAGTCTGCAGTAAAATATGCCAGATCACTTCAATTTACTCCTGACAAAGATTACAACCATTTAATAAGTGGCCAAAATGTTATAGAAAAGGTTTGGTTTTATTTTCTATAACAACCTACCAACAGCTAAGGTATTGTTAGGATATCTTCATGAGGGTACGTGTGTAGGAGGCAGTATATTTTTGTATTTGCCACGTTACGAAAGCACAGATTGGAAGATGACTTTATAGTGCTACCTCACTGAAATGCTATGCCAAAGGCACCCAGCACAGCATTCCGCCTGGTCACATTATACTGACAAAGGGTAAACCAGTTGTTAAAATATTAACCCAAAATGCTGAACGTTAAGCAGGTAATAACATCTACCATTTTAAGGACTTTGGTATGTCCCAGCCTGGGGACAACCCATTGCCTTCCTTACTTTGGTGAATGTTTGACATTTAAGGCCAAAAGTTAAGTATTGCCAAGAGGGACCCTAGCAATAAAAGAAAGTTGGTAGAAAGTAGAAAGAAAATACGAAGATCCCAAAAATTGATATAGAAAAAACCTGACCACATATGTCAGCCAACATATGTTACTAAAGTGACTGACCACAAAACTGGCCTAGATTATGCATTTCTATGTTGATAGAACAATTTTTGTTCAATTTCTGCAAAGGTTTGTGTCTCTGGCAAGCATCTTCTACTCGCTAAGTTCACAGGGACCTGATAATTTATTACAGCTGCATTTGGACCATAACTGAGGGTTTTGTATTAATTTTACATGTTTTAGGGATCAAGATAAATTTTCAGTAAAAAGGCCATCCCCAATGTGTTATTTCTGGCAAAAATTAATGTAAACCCCCAAAATGTGAAGAATTACTCTGAACACCTCAGTTGAAGTCGAAATATAGCTGTAACACATTCTCAGGTCCCTGTGGCTTAGTTTAAATAACTAATTGGATGAACAAATGAATGCTTACAGATAGCCTCAGTGTTCTGATTAACGTTGTTATTTTTTACCAATCTCTCACTTTCTACTGAATGAAAACAGAATCCTAATTCATATTAATTTCTGCATTTTATTAATATGAAAGAAAAGGGGGCAAATTGTGAACGTATGGTATATATATATAAAGAACTGTACAGAGCTAGACACAGATAATTCCTGTATAACAATTTCTGTCCTTTCTATACCATGATCGATAACATGCACACATACATAAAAGACAACAGAAAACCTTAAACAAACAAATGTATATATATATATGATCTAGGTTATCACAATACTGTAGCACACTTATCGATATACTTGGTAGTCCAACCTTGTTTATCCAGGACAGCTACCACTTATCTGACCGTCCCACTACCCAAATGGTGTTTTCTTGTGAACGGTACCACTGCACTAGATATAATTGTGAAATAAATCTCAATTCACTGCTGGTTCTGTTTTTTACTTAAGATTATTCTCCCTTTAATATATATATAGACAAAAATAAAATAAAAAAAATCCTACTTAGAGTTACATCCCTTGTCATGGTATTCATCTTTCATTTTGATGATAGGCTTTTATAATTCCTTGAAAGCAACATCGGCAAAGTGTAGGAATAGCAAAGGATATTTGTTGGGTTTTTATTTGAAACAATTACTTGTGTAGAAAAAGACTTCAATAAAAAATATGTTTCATAATGGTGACAATGGCAATAAAATATTTTAACTTTCAAGTTGATACTTCCTATACAAAAATTCTACTGTCAATGAAAATAATCGGCTTATCTATACAGTATTTGACTTAATACATGCATATGATGAATATAACAATCCATGAAAAAAGTAACAAAACAGAACTAAATTCTGTTAAATGGAAATAATGCAGTTCTATGGTGTTAATAAACGCAAAGGAAAACCCACTTCTACGTAGATACTTCACAGTTGCGATATGATTTCATCAATATGGTATAACTATTACTAATAGAATCTATCATTAGTGAGAGATATAAATAACTCAGCAGCTAAGGATCAAATAGTTTTAAGACCAAATTTTTTAGAGTTTCCTGCAAAAATATTTGATTCTGTAGGACATATCAGAAACAACCAAATTAGTGATGATTATATTTCTTGCCTATGACTTGCAAAATATAAATGCAGATGAAGTAATGTCTCTGATGACATTATGAGTGTGATTCTATTGTGGATGAAATATCACTGTATGTGGTATGCTGTGTTTCTGGGGCTGGATAGATTTTTCAGGTTGCTAGACGATTCTGTCTCATTAGAAGGCAAGAAATGTATCTATACTAAAATCTTCATTCAGTAATCAGATCCATTAAATACTTAACACATGAGATAAAGGAACATTTATATCACATCGATGTACAAAGAGACCAAGGACGAGACAGTTGAATACCCGGGCAAGTTTTTTTTCTTCATAATCAATATAAAACAATTTCTGTATACACTATGTAAAAAGAATCAAATCTCAATAGCACATTCTGACAGTATTAAATACTATATTTTGTACATAAAAGGCAGTTTTTTGTACATGACAATACAAAAGTACAGAAAGGAGGAAAGGTAGAGAAGATGACAGACGAGAAGGAAAGTTCTATAGAAAGTTGATAAAGAATAACAGAACATATAAGAACATAACAAATGAAGAATAATCAAACTGTGAACTGGTACATACATATGAAATCTAGATATCTGCCTGTAATCCAGGATTATAGTCTATCTGAAGCCTCAATGGACATCTCGGCTTGTAAACCAGGGTTATAGTCAATCTGGATATCCAAGCATGCTGACCATGGTTATTTACCTAGATATTCTAGGCTGTATACTGATCTATCTGGAGATCCCAGCCCATACGCTTAAGCTACAGAATCCATATATGAACATGTTAACCTGTAAACCAAGGTTATAAAAATATATCTGGATGTCTAGGTATTTAAACTAGGGTTATGGACAATCCTCGTCTGTAAGCCAGACATAGCAGAATGTCACATCTGGATCAGTTCCCTGTTTGCACTGTTTAGAACATGTAACTTTACTCTGGTCTTGAGAACCAGATTCGGAGTCTTATTTAGAAACTTTAGCCAGTAGTTTGTCACACATTTGGATCAGTTCCCTGTTTGCACTGTTAAGAACATCGAGCACATATAGACTGTAGACCATTTAGGTTGAAATTATAAATTAACTCTGGTCTTGACAACCAGATTCGCAGTCTTATTTAGAAACTTTAGCCAGTAGTTCGTCACACATCTGGGCCAGTTCCTTGTTTTCAGACATCTGTAATAAGTAGAACAATAATATTAAAATCATCCCAACATGACACTTAGGTTCACAGAACTTCTGGTTATGTTCTCATTCCAAATATTTTCTGTACATTGTTTATAATTAAAAAAAATCAAAATAAAGGGACCTTGGCAGTCATACATATATTTACAATATATTGTTCATAGTTTTCAACTCATTAATCCCTGAAGACACATTTGAACTCTTTCAGTTCGCAGGTTGGAATAGTACATTATGAAATTTCAGGGGTGAATGAGTTAAAAGCTGGACAGGTTTTTTATAGGTCTTTGATAATTGTAGGATTTTGATGACAGAAAAACTAGAATGGTTTGAGCCAGTAACAAAGAGTACAGTACACTACTGTCTCTCAAGCTTCTCACCTTCTGATCCACAGTTTTCTGCAGACTCTCTATCTGCATTTTGTCTCTCTTGGTCCTTGCCTCTGATGATGTTGTTATTAGACTCAGGTCAGACTTCACTTTTGATAATTGTTGTGTAAGTCTGCAAATAAAGAACAAGTGTCACAGTAAAATCACATAAAAGACTGTTTATTTATGCGGAACAACCGGTTTGTCTGATTTTAAGTGTAAAAATTCCCGGTATAAATCCTGGCGGACCTTCAATTGTTTATGCAGGCCTTGCAAAGCTTTGTCAAGGCTCGACCTTATTTCATAAACGAACAAACTCTGGTCCAACCGGTTCAACTGTTTGGATCCGGATAAACAAAAGCAGCCAGTTTTTTGCGGGGAATAAATATATGCTTACATTAAAGTAACATCTTTGAATGTTTCTTCAAATTAAACAACCTTCTTGAAAAGTAAACATGATAGTCCTGCTTGACTCGGTAGCTTGCCTAGGTAGCGTTGATTACGATATTCAACAAAGTACTTTTGCCAGTTGGCATATCAAGTGCTCTAAGGAAATCATGCAGGCCTTTTAGTGGTCTATCATGAGTATAGGTCACATTTTCTATCTGCATATTAAAATAATTTTTGTTGTGTTCAATTTATTGGAATTCCAAATGATAAACAAAATACAAAATGTTTTCATATAATTTTGCAAGATACAATGTATATCCGTTTAGGAGTGGAAAACTATTGTTCTATATATTTCAGCAAAATTATAGATATTAAGTAGAAATGTCACTTTAAAGTTTGCCTCCCTCCTCCTCCCCCCTCTTTCCCCAGCTAATTTGATTTCAAAATGTGTCAATATTCTAAACCAACTTTGACCTTTTCACAAATAACATATCTTCATTTGATGGGTGGAATGAAGGAGATGACAGATTTTCACTAAATTCTTAAAATGTATAGACAATGGAAAATACAGGTTCTCCTCTAAGAATTGATGCTTTTCTAGTTTAATGATAATATTAGCAGCAATACTCACTCCACGATTTTCTCCTTACTCTCCGTTTTAACAGCAGTCAGACTTTTCTGTAATTCCTTGGCATGTGCTGTAAGTGTTTCTTGATTCTTAAAATAAATGGGAACACCGTTAAGTACTTTCTGTACACAACAATCACAAAAATTAACTTTCAAAAACAAAAATCTAACAAGCCATTCGGATTGATATGTTTCGCCTGTGCCCCCGTTTTGACCATCAATGCACATATCAGAGAAACTTAACTTAAATGCAAAAACTAAATGTTGATATGGAGATGATGACAAAGTCAATGGACCATGAAAGGTAGACTGCATCCAGCATTTGATGCATGGGTTGATATGTACTACCTAAGATGCATCTATGGTCCAAGTTTGGTTAGTGTAGCACTTCAATATACTTTCAGTGAAACTAACTTAAACGTAAAAACTTAATGTTGACGCTGCTGGCGCCAGAAAAGCAACACCTTAGTCTTTCTTCCGCTACTTTATTGGGGCGAGACAAAAACAAAATCTAATAAAATAGTGACTTGACTACCCATGTTACACAATGGTTACCCTGTCCTACAACCTATTACTTCACTAACCTTTACATGGCCACTCAAGGTTTCCTTCAGTTTCTCGTTTCGCCGATGGAGCTCAGAAAACGCCTTTTCTAACGATTGTGTATCTTGTACAGCCTGAAATAATATAAACCAGAAATTTAATATAGGCAACACATCAGTATACATGCCAGTAAAGTCTTATTTTACATAAAAGTCTTATAAAAGGCAAAATTTCTGAAATACAATTTCTTGGTATCAATCCTATCTATTTGTCGATTCTTACATGTGTTCATGTACCAGTAGTATTATTTACCTAGTAAAATGATTAATCAGTATGTGCACATATTTAGAAAATTATGTAGTTATGCTGGATATAAAACATCAATCAGTGTGCTGAAAGAAGTGTTTCTTTTTGTGCAAGCTCTCTCCAGAATCAGGCTGTTATTTACAGTATCTCATTTACCCCTGAAATTTTGTAATGAACTATTCCAACCTTTGAATTGGAAGAGTTCCAATGTGTATTCAGGGGTGAATGAGTTAACTCATTCGCAAGCCTTTGGCCTTTTTTTTTTTTTTTCTGCTGCACATGTTACGTATTATTCTCACAGGTTCAACACACCAACTTACCTGTTCCCTGTCCTTTTTTAGTTCAACGGTGAGGTCTTTCTCTTTTTCTTTTTCCTCTGTATAAAGACAAAAGATGCTATAAACAAATATATATATACACAAGTACAGAGATACTTAAAATTGATATCCTGCTTTCATTCCCCATTGAATATTGATAAATTCTTGTTTTCAATAGGCTGATATGTAAACCGCATAGTTTTTCTATAGAATCAAGAAAATATGAAGTAACAAGTCATATACTGTATAGCCAGTTATTTTTGCACATATAAATTTAATGATTTTCACAGACAATTTGGGAATTAAATAACGGTGAGGAAATTTTGAAATCTGGAAATGCGAGAGTATCTAAGGCTCATATAGCACGACTAGTCAAGTGTTTACGTGTGTCGTTTTGGTGACTAATACGGTACGAACTGTCATCTTCATCAAACTAGTGCAAAAGTATCCCGACGCTCAATAACACACAGTACAATCTATTGTCCTCCTCTCCGTTTAGCTCCGTTACTTACGAATCAGTCCTTCCACCACTATTTCTAACTCCTTTGAAATGTTCCTGAAATAGAATTAGAGCCATCATAAAACTTGAGAAGCTTATTCATTAAAACAAATCCTCAGAATCTGTTAAAACAAGAGCTAGTAGCAGAGCAATGTATACCTGTGATAGAAATAAGTGTAACTTGGAGAGAGAATTTCACTTTACTGGACAGGATTGTCAATTACAGTCAAACTTCTATGTATCCAACTTTGGGGGACCATCTGGAAAAATTTGAAACATCGGGACTTCGACTCACAAATATTAAACATTGAACATTGAGATCATGTATATAAGACGGAATGTGATTCTTATGTGACGAACCCAAGCTACGAAATATAACTACATTTACAGATATAAGAATAACAAGCTGAAATGTGTATTGTGATCTATCAAATTCAACATTTCTTCGTTTGTCCATAAAGTACAAGTTAATTTTTGACTTTGGTTTATTAGTTGTGATTTCGAATATTTTCATAACGAACGGGCCATGCTTATACCTCGAAACAGCGAGATATTCAACTCATACCAGTTTGATTCATGAATAGAATATCGGTAATGTAATATGAGGGGGAAAATCCAAACTTTGACACATCAAGGATTTTGAATCTTTGAAGTTTGATTTATGGAAGTTTGACTGTATATGATATTTGACGAGTATTTTAACAATTTCTTTTTGCAAATGGCAACTTCATCTCCAAATAAATGGCAACTTCACCTCCAAATAAATGGCAACTTCACCTCCAAATAATTTTCAAATCCAAATACAAATGATTTAGATCAAAGTTGACCCTTGAGGGGAGTACTAAAACGTAACTATATATGACTCAGCAAAATAGAAATTTGTCGCACCCCATTAGTTCTATATCTGCCTGCTTCTTTGCCAGTGTCCTGTTCTGTTCCTCTATCTTGGCCTTGAGCTTGTCGACCACCTTGGTCCACTCGCGCTCCAGTAACAACTTCTGGCCCTGGAATTCCAGGAACAGGGACGACTTCACCTCACACATGTCCTTGTCTGTGTACTGCAACACCTGGTGGCACACATTGGCAGTTTACGTCAGTTTGTATGTATGAACTGATACTTTATTGTCTAGCTAAATATTCAGAGGCAACTTGTTTGGCAATGTTACAGCAATTTTCTTGGGCCTTTATTGAAGACTATAGCTCGCCTATTGGTGATATATATTGTAAGATAGCAAATATCAATAGAAACAAATGTACAGTAAAACCTTGATATGATGCCCATCATTTCATTTGCCACCTCACTTACTGCCAACATATTTTCAGGTCCCTTAATTACGTTTCCCTCAATTTATCACCAAACCCCTTTATAATGCCAACATTTCTTTGAACAAACGATGGCAGTATAAAAAGGTTTTGCTGTACCTTAACATGTAAGAGAGATGACCAGCCAACGTGAAATAGTCAACAGGGTATTGATGGTGGTGACCGATCAAACACTGCACAAAAAAACCTGCCCAAAATCTTTAACCAAGTCCAACTATTAAATCAGTTTAGGCCCCTAAAATGATGAAAATATAATTCAGAACATTGCTTACGCTCCATATAATAAATACTCCAACCTTATAATAGACAACAGCCTTTTGATAGTGGTGATCCAAAACTACACAAAAAAACTTGCCAAAAAACTTTAACCTCAAACTTGCCCCAAACTTAACCAAGTCCAATTAAGCTGTTTTTTGAACCCTAAAATATGAAAAATATGGTCCAGCGCATGACTTAACCTCATCATAGACAACTTTGTATTGAGTGTGATGATCAAACACTGTCTGGGAAAAACTTGCCCAAAAAGTTTTAACCTCAGAAGGTGGGACGCCGACGCTAGGGTGACTACATTAGCCCCTATTCTCTGAATAGAAGAGCTAACAAGAGGCCCATGGGCCTTAACGGTCACCTGATATATTTATACAGAGTGTTGATTTTGTTTTGAACATGAACAGAAATATTATTCAGTGACAAAAAACAATAAAACCACCTTACTCAATATCTAGCATACAGATTTCAGACTAAAAAGGATTTGAAACTAGCACCTCTGATTATTAACAAGGAAAATGAAGAAATTTTAGCACACTGACTCCTTTGAGCCCCACCCTACAGCCCTTGGGGGTAGGGCTGGCTCAAAACTTTCAAAGTATCAAACTGTCAATTCAAGGTTATAATTCCAATCAAGTTATTAACATGTAATATTCAAAGTATCATTTGCCATTATAAACCATAATAAATTTTGCCCCCCTCCCCCCCCCCTTTCCCCAGGGGGTAAACGTGAGACCCTAGGGTCATAAACCTTAAGACCCTTCCATCTATGAAGAGTATTTGATTCTACCATATCTGGGTCTTGAGAAGAAGATTTTTGAAATTTCAGT